GTGCTTATACACACCCATACACATGATCACTCCAGATATAAACCAATTACCTGCATCACACACAGGCTCATACACAAATGCACACAGGAACACACGGATACATGGATAACACAGACGAAGCCGAAGAGGAAATGAGCTACACATGCGCACACAGACTTTGTGCACACACAGATGTGACCTGTGCATACAAGAGGAACGGACAAAGCCTAGAAGAAAATGGTTCTCTGCCTGTTTACAACATACATGTTCTCATGCATAAACCAGTGTTCCCAGAGGAAGCACAGCTCATGGAGTCCTCACAGGAACCTAAAATTACACAGGCAACTCTGACCCATCTGGTCTACAGACTGAGTGCATGAGCCATGGAAAGAATGAACACAAACATATGATACCTTGCCTTAAGGCAACTGGTAGCCTGTACCCCATCCTGAGACACAGTCTGCATACCTACAGTGCCTCCCATGGTGATTAGCTTATCACCCAAGCCATTCAGAAGTTAGGAGGGAAGGAAGGAAGGGACTTCCCCATATGCCAGTTGTGGCACTTCATGACACCCTCTCCAGGTCATGCTACTGATGATCCTTCCTATTTGCTTCCTATCCCTGCTGTCAAACTAACTGACACCCACATGAGTCAAAAGTACCTACAGTTTCTTGCAAACAGTCCTTCCCCTACAGCTTACTGAAACCAGATGGGTGTAACTCTTGTGTGAAAAGCTGAAGATGCACTCCCCGGGGTGACTGTAGACAGGAAGGAATAGACCCAGCACCATCAGCTGGGTCAGCACAGGACGATGGATGGGCCTTACCTTCAGCAGTAGGACAAATTCTCCTATGGGGCTTTGATCCTGTGCCTATCTCCATGGTGTCTGGTGCTATGCTATAAGGCACCATGTAGCCGCTGTGTCTACCCAGGGCTGTCTGGGAACCCTAAAGACTCTCTGCAACATCAACATAGTGACCAAACCCATCAAGTTATTCACCTCAGCCTGGCTCTTAATAGCTTGTTTCCCACCCCTTATAATGCTGTGGAAAGAATGACAACTGCCCTTCCCTCCTTCTGTACTTCAGCTGGTCAGTTGGAACTGGGTTTCCTCTTGGCTTATGAGTGTTGAGCAAATGAGGTCATTTCTCCTCAGTGACAGAAAACTGGTCAGTGCGGTCTGTGGGGAAAGCAGTTCATCTCAGGCAATGGCTAGGTACCCCTGAGCTCCAAGGAGACCTGAAGAACTGCTGTAATCCCTTAAAGAGGAGGTCAGGCAACAGCAAAGCAAGCTACCAAGCTGACACCACCTGGGGAGCACAGGAAAGCCAGGACACAAATGCAGCTGTAACTGCTGCCAGACCATCTAGCCACTGACACAAACGCTACAGCAGTCCCACAGTCACTGTCACCTCCGAAGTGCCAAGCCTGACCCATATGAGGCTTTAAATACAGCCTTCATCTGGATCACAGCTGACCCAGCAGAGAGAAGGGACTGGAGGTCAGTCACAGCCCTTTGGTCTGCTCCCTGAGCTTTGCACTCTGCCATTCCAGCCCCAAAAAGAGGACTTCACGCCCACACACCCAGTGTAGGAGGTGGCTCCCATCAGCCTGCTTCCCTTCAGTTGGCTGAAATCCATGTCCTCCTTAATCCCTCTTCCCACCTGGAAAGGCATTGAGGAACACTGACCTCTGCCCCCAGAGAACCCCAAATAGAGCTCAACACCCTCCTGTAGCTCAGCATCAGGACCAGCATGAACAATCCCCACCAGCAGAACCTGCAGTGCTACTGAGGATGCTCCAGCTTTCCCCATACCTGCTGGCAGGCTGGGATCCCTCACTGCTCCATGGAGAAGGAAAGCAAAAGCTCCTCCATTCCCAGAAAAGGGGGTATTTTCCTGGAACACCTAACCTGCTCCTGTCCTGCTCTGGTACCCAAGCATGGGTGAGGGCTACAAGTGTGTTTGGGGGACACCACATGCCTCTCCCAGAGCATGGCTCTGCCCATCAGCTCACCAGAGTGTGAGGACAGGGGTGTTCCCTGCATGTCCTCAACCCTCCTTCACACTAATAACAGAAAGAACTTAGCCCAGGTCCACGCTTGGGGAACTGAGGACCCGAGGGGAAAAAACACACTATTTGAGATGAGGGAGAGAGCAGCCAGGGCTCTTCCTCTTAGCAAATGTGCTGATGCTTTCTGACACATCTGCTGACAGCACTGGGAGGTTTCAACAGGCCTGATTTGACCACTAGCTTTTCTCCCAGGTGAGCAGGGCTCTCCACTACTCTTCAACAGAGTTAGATGAGGCAGCTGCACTCTGCCTGAAGCTGCATCTGGCTTCTGATGTGACCCAGGTAGGAATAAACGCCATGGACATCATTGCCGCTATGCTTCCCTCCCCTCTGCTTCCCCCCTGCCTGTGATTTCCACCTTTCTGATTTTAACCACAAGCTGCCCCCCAGCAAAACCTCCACCTCCGTATGCCCCATTTTCCCAAACGCCCTCTCTACCCTCCAAGCAGCTTCTGCTCCACAGTTTAGCTTTGCACCAGCGCGGCGGATCAGGCAGCGTATTCCCAAATACCCACTTTGCCTGGAGCTGGGTGAAGAGAAGGAAAGGCCATTCATTCACAGTTCTTCCTTTGGTGTCATACTTTTTTTTTTTGGGGGGGGGGGGGGGGAAGGGGGCAAGGAATGAAAGCAGCTTGCTTGATTCTGACATATCTACATGCTTGTGAGTTGGATGCCCTGAAAGCAAACCACCTCCCAGAGGGAAACAACAGGGTGAGGAGGGTGGCAACTGGGGGGGGGGGGAGCTGGGGGAGAAAGATTTCTAGGCTGAGGAAATTAGTGGGATGAAAGTGGCTGTTTCTCACCCCTGGCACCACGTCAGCACCCCTCCACTCCCTGCAGCTTCCTCACTGCTGCTGGTACGGTCTGCATAGAGCAGGGAGGCAAAAGGGGAGCTCTATTTAAATATATTAATAATGCATGTTCCATGCACATGAAGCTTCCTTTGAATAGAACATCAGTGATGCTGTCGGGCTGTGCTTCCTGAGACACAGGAGTGTGTGGGGACAGGGCGGGGGATGCAGGTCACCAGAAATGCCCTTCTACCCTGGCACAGTCCCCTTCCTCCCCCTTCACCCCAGCTCCCCACTTCACACACACTCTTCTCCCTCCCACCTCCCAGTGCATGACAAATTCCTTGGCACACAGCATGCAATGCAGCCAGGCTCCCCAGTCCCCTAGGCCCCCTCCAGGGACATGGACCCACCCCCTCTTCTCCCCACTCCACATAATCTTTACCCCTCCCGGCTCCAATCTCAGCAATCCTCTTCCTGCTCCATAGTTTGGTTTATAGCTCCCTACCTCCAGGGTGGGGAGAAGCGCTGTGCTCTCCAGCCTTTAGGGGAAAGGAGGGGGAGCAGCTCCTGAGTCGGGCCTGCACATGGGCACCCACTTTTGTGTGCACACACCAGCCCCCAGCAGCAGACGCTTGTGTGAGCCTACAGTGGGTGCCAACGGACCGCTGGCTGTGCACGGCTGCAAGATGCACGCGCCCGCAGCGCCTGAGCGATGCTCTTCTCCCCATCACCAGCACTTCCTTCCCTGGGTGCTTGCAAGGCTTGCAAGCATATTGTTTGTGCACAGCCACCCCTGCCTCCACACACACACACATGCAGTATGCACACGTGTGCTCACATGCATGCACAGAGGTATGGGGGAGCCACACCAGCACACACAGGAGAGGGCATTACACACAGCAGCTCCCAGATATGCTGCCCGCTGCAGCATTAGCAGATTTATGCTGCCTTTACCCAGCCAGATCCAAGCTCTGGAATGGGAACAGCAGCAGCTGTGCACTCCTGCCTGTCCTGGGATGAGAATAGGATGCGTCTGTTCGTCTCTCTCCCCCACCCCCATACCTCCTCCTTCCCCCTCCTCTTGCTCCCATTCATTCATTCAGCTTCTCCTCCCCCATCCCATGCTCCAAAGCAAGAGGATCCTTATGCATAAAAATGTGGGCATGCTTTTTCTGGTAGAAAAAAAAACCAAAATGGTCACACAGACCCCCTGCAAGCAATGCATATAGACATACGTGTGCATTTGAGTAGCTGTCCTGGGCCCCTACATAAATACCCAGCTCCCTCCGCCACCACACGCACACTCACACACCCGACAGACACCACGCAATGACTTTTCTGCAGCCAGTCAGCCTCCCGTCAGAGCAGTGTAAAAGCAGAGCAGAGATTTACTCACTCCCCTGCATCCAAACCAGGCGAATGTTCACACACCACACACAGAGACAACACACACACACACATCACTGTCTGAAAAGGCTCCCTGGCAAAGTTTGCTAAGAGGCAGGGAGCAGGGGGCTGTGGGATGAGGCTGTCTCCTTCTGCGGGCAATAAACCTATATGTCAGTGTATCTCTACCTGTATATGCACATGCATGTATATAATATACATATATAATATACATATATAAGTATACACACACAGAGACACACACATACATACCTATACGTACATATACACATATGCCCTCCTCTTGTGAGGTTTGAGTAGAAGCAGACCAGTCAAACCCAGCTGCGTGCAGCAAGCCCTGATCCTATTCAGCATCCTGATCCTAAGCGAGTTGCACACACACACACACATAGAAAGGGGGACCTATCTCCAAGCCTCCCTCCTTCCCATCACCCCGTGTAGGCATCATCTCCCCCTCACCCCTGGCCACTTCCCCATCTCCCATGCACTCACCCCTTGCCTTCATCCTCAGCTCAGAGACAGCCACCCCCCACCCAGAGGGTACATGCATAGGCTGGAGGAGAAAGGCAATCCATCCATCCTGCCTTTCTCCCTTTCTCCCCCCCACCCCGGTCCTCCCCCTCCAATCTCAGCCGCTTCTCCGAGAGGCGACACAGACAGAACAGGGAGCCGAGGACACGCAAGGCAGCTGCACCAGGACCGCACACAGAAACGTGTCACACACACACACGCATGCAGACATACCTGGTTCTGGAGGGGCGATTGCTCCCTGCTTCCATACCAGGCATGGCTGAGATGAAGTGCAGGCACAAAAGACCCCTGTCTTTGAGCAACTTGGAGCCCCGCAGGGGTGTGTGTTCTTAAGAGGGGGGGTCCCCCACCTTGTATCAGTCGCCCCTGGAACTGCGCTGTCCCCTGCCCCACAGCCGTCTCATTCCCGGCTGCACCTAGGCAGCGCTCCCAGCCACGCACACACGCGAGCACGGCAGCAGCAGTCCGGGGAGGGCACGCACAGCCGGAGGATTTGCTGCCTTCGCCGCATCCGCATCACTGGGGGAAGAAGGCAGAAAGGGCTGTATTGGCATTTAAAACGCAAGTGATTAATTCGCCACAGGCTCGGCTGATAGGGCTCTGGGAGCAGAGCCGGCGCTGCTTCTCCCAGCTGGGAAGGCTGTGACAAGAGAAGGTCCCAGTCTCATAGAGCCAGCTCCGAGCTCTCCTTGACTGCACAGCCACTGCTTGGGTACAGGCAGAAAGGGGTGGGCCTCCACCGGAGACATGAGCACGCATGCAACAGCTGCTGGGGAACTGCATACACACACCGTTTCCTTCCAACAGCTGCTGAACAGCTACACACAACATACAACAGCTTCCCAGGAACACACACAAGCAACAGCTGCTGGGGAATCACAGTCGCGCACACACACAGAGGCTACTGCTTCTCAGAGCCGAGCCACCCGCATGAAAATACAACAGCCTCTAGGAATGATGCAGGTACGAGTAACAGCTTCTGAGGAGCTACACACACACACATATGCATGCAACAGCTGTAGACCTACTGACACAGGTATGTGGGAAACTACAACTTAATATATACCCCTGTGGTGTTTACTAAGAAAACTGACATACAGAAATGCAACAGGAGGTGAGAGAAACCTTTCATCGGCACACAAACACACATGTGACTGCTCTGGGGAGTCTGTCTGTCATATAGCTCCCCCAAATCACCACACACACAAATGCAACAGCTCCTCAGAAATCACCCTCAACCACATTCCCTCAGGTACATGCAACACTCACTGGAAGAACTTCCACCTCCCCGTGCCCAAATCCACACATGCCTGTGCTGATGGAGATCTTGCCTACAGTCAGAAACAAACATCCATGTGTACCCGGTGCTGGGCAGCCAGACACAGCTCAGCCCCCAGATACTGCACACAGGTCTAGCGGAAGGTGTCCCTGCCTGTGGCATGGGGTTGGAAGTGGAGGAACTTTAAAGTCCCTTCCAACACAAACCACTCTGTGATTCTATGGTTCTCATATGGGCTAGGAAAACACCTTACCAAACACAGAGTGACTCTAAAGAAATGACTGCCCAGCCTGTTCATGGAGAGCACAAACACACGTGACAGTTAGACATAAACAAGGAGGGATGTCTATGTGCAGATGCACAGACCACAACTGAAGGGACATGATGCATCCCTCACACTCACCACAGCTGTGAAGGGACTGCCTGTCTCACTTGGGTATGCTCAGACAAGCAACAGCTGTGCAGGAACTTAGGAACACAGGGCATTGGATGGGAGCTGGCTTTCTGGGATGTGCAATCCAGTCTCCTGCTATTCCAGGCAGCCACACCATAGAATCACAGTCAGAGACGTCTCCAGGTCCATCCTAGCCCTTTGAGACCTCTTGCTCCCTGCTCACAGGCTGTTCTGGCCCCCAGCCATGCTGATGTTAGAAACCTGCCCAACACCTGCATTTACTCATGACCAATTCACACCCACATGTCCTTGTACCAGCTGTCCTTCGCAAAGGTATGAATAAAGGTTGCGAGAACAAATGGAAATGCTCCAAAACCTCCACTTGCAGCTGAACAGACACCATCTGCACCCCTGCCTCGCACAGACATATGCAATACATCCAGGTGAAGACATTCCTCCCAGCACAAAGATCAACAGCCTGTAGCAAAAGACACCTAACCCTGCCACCGCAGCACTCACATGCAGGTGGGTACGGACATACAAGCACTTGTAACCTCTGATGGGAAGCTAATGGCTTTCTTCATGCAGTCCAAGAACTGCAGAGGAATTACTCTGCCACAAACCCCCATTGCAATCAGTACTATTATTAAATGTGTTGAATTGTGATGTTCAGTTGCATCACCCATAGCCCACCTCCCCGTCCGGCTAGTTGTGGTGTAAATACAGAACAATGTAACTACCCCTGCATCTATCTGCAGATCTACAGGGGGCACTGAGCTCCTTTGATTCTTCTCTCTGTTGGTAGAGAAATAACCCCATGCAAATCCAAACCCAGCACATATGGGGCTGCTCTCAGCTTCTTCACATGCATACAGCATCCTCACGGATGGGACACCAAGCCCACAGACTGAAGGGGAGGAATGGGGACTGAAACAGCGAGTAGCCCTACAGGAATGAGTTGCCTATGTCAAAACACAAGCAACAAGTGCAAAGGACCCATCTGTAAAACTAGCCCCAGGCATCACACGTATCCATAAGGTATAAACACACAAGGTCAGCCCTGTTGAAAAACAGCACACAGGAAGCTTGCTGTAGCCTCTTTTACTCAAAACCTGCAGACCCAAATGCGAAAGAACACACAGCCACACACACTGTGCTCGGAGACAGGAGGTGAGCAGCTCTGAGGACACTTCTGGATGTTCCCTGAACCATCTGTAGATGTCTGTTCTCACAGATTAAATGCCAGAGCTACTCGCTCCACCTGGGATGGGAGGAGAAGGGAGCTTATCTTGGCAACTCCAGACTCCGTTTTCTTGCCTTTATCACTTTGGGGGTTATGACTGTAGGGGTTTTCCTCCAAGCTCTTTTGAAGCTAAAAGCTAAAGGAACAGAGACTTGTTTCCATCTTTCTCTACCTCCTCCAAGGACAAACATGATCTAATCTTGGAGGGTGTTGAAGTAGGAGAAAAGGTTTCCAACTCCAAATGAATGCAGGATTTTCTCCTGCTTGAGTTCCTCCAGGATCATCTTGCAGTCTGTTCAGGATGAGTCTCCTAGAGGCTCTCCTGCTGGCATAGATCGATTCTGGACTGAGAATTGATGGGGCAGGATCTTTGTGCTGCCAGTCCCCATGGGGGTCAGGCAGTACTTGCTCATACTCCCACTAATGTAGGAACAACACTTAGATCCAGCAGAACAGAACTGCTCCAAGAGACAAGCAGAAGCAAGCACCACATCCCCGGCGGTGTGGGACATTTGGGTCCTCAATCTCATTCAAAGACAGAACCCCTGCTGCTTACTTATCCCCTTGCAAATGATCATTCAGAGGATACTGATGCTCACCCTCATGTTTACGTTGCAGATGCTCTGACCTTGTCAAAAGCGCTGGAAAGACTCTGTTGTTTGTTACTTCAGAAGTGAAAAAAAAACCTTAACCAAGAAAAAAAAAAGCTTCCTAAGGACGTCACAGATACTTTAAGTCAGCTGCAGAGGTACCTCATTCCCGATGTCCAAGCCTACAGAAGAATAAGCACCTCCTAATTCTTTTGTGCCAGCATCTTGGAGACCACCACCCTCCAGCCAGGCCTGACCTCTCTGCCCCCTTAATAGGGATGGGAACAGCCCCAAGAACTGCTTTGGTTTACACCTTTGTTCTCAGCTGCTGCTCTGTTAGGCTGCTACATCCTCTTAAGACTGGAGATGCTGTTAGGGGTGAACAAGGGAACTGAATTTATTAGACTGATTACCTAGTGTTATTGCAATATACGCCAGGGAGCTGTTAAGCCCTGGAATAGCCCAGAATCTGGGAGTCACAAAGGTGATGATAAACACGATTTTTAAACCTCTGTGCACAGGCTGAGGAATACTGAAGGTAATGTTCAATGTGGATGGCACCTCTAGGAGAAAGAGTAGTGCAGACAGCCATTCCCCCTCTCCCCTCCATGACTTGGCCCTTGTGCCATTTGCCTGCACGAGGAGGGGAGAGTCAGGCAAGGAAGGCAGTCACGCAGTCTGCCTGCGCTGCCTTCGGTGTGTGCTGCCAGAGAAGGGAGTCTCGCTGGGAGCGTTTCCAGCTCATGGAGCCGGCAGATCAGCCCTTCTCCCTCTCTTCCCTTGCCCATCTGCCACCTCCCCCAGGGGTACCACCGGGACCCTCGGCTGGGGCCCCGGGAGAAGGCTGGGCTCTGCCCTCGCTGCAGTCAGAATCTCTCCACTGATCTATACTGCGGTGAGCAGTGACAGATTGATTTTACAGCTCTGCTTGGAGCCGGCCGCTGGCCCTGGGCTGTGGATGAATCAGCTTTCTCTGGGCCTTGGCTTTTATTTCATTATTTTACTGCAGCCTCCCTCACAGGCAGCTAAAGAGAGAGCGAGAGGAGGAAAGGCGAAGTTGGCAGATTTTCTTCCTTGCTCGTGTGCTCCCAGCCTCACAGATTGGCTTTGAGACTCCAGGAGGAGGGAGGGAAGAGACTGTTTTCCAGGGACTGACAGCTGTCAAGAATAAAGACGAGGCACCTTCTACATCAGTAGCTGCACATTGCAATGGCTGTGTGCACTACAACGGCAAGTAGTGCGTAAGCGCTACGTGGCATGAACGGTAATGTTATGCCGATGCCTCGTTCTTTGCCAAATGGAGGAAAGCCCATTTTTCATTACACGGGGCAGCGCATTTGGAAATCACATCCCATAAGCGCATTGGGCATTAACCTGCCTACAGAATCCAGGTTGGGAGTGCTTCCAGGTCCTCCCCTAACAGCTGTGGACCTAGGGAAGGGGCAAGAGCTGTATGCTGCTGTCTCCATCAGGCTGAGAGGTCTCTGAGCATACCGCAGCTAGGAGATTCTCCTGGGGTGAAGAAACACCTCCAGGTATGGAATCAGCCTTCTTCCCTCTCCTGGCTGTTATGGATATTGTAGACGTTACCTGAGGGGAGACAGGCTCGGTCCTAACTCTGTTGTTTATTGTGCCGTTGAGAAGAGCAATTGTGAAATCAAACAAGGAAGGAATGGCAAAATCAAAGGGCAGAAAAGTGTTGGGTTTTCCAGCCCTGTTCTGGAACTACAGTGGGACAGTTCAAGCCCCATTAGCAGAATGCAGTCTGGAGCAATTGTTTTTCTGTGGAAGGGCAGAGAACAGAGGGACCAGCCCAAAGTGCAACAAACATTCCTCTCCACACCCCCAATAACTCAGGGGTAAACAGAGTAAACCTCTGCTCTGTCAGACTTGTTGCTGAAAAATCCCTTTGTCAGCTCTAAGATCTACTGTGGGGTCCCTCACCTGCCCTACAAGAGGAGTAATAACCAAAGGAACCCACAACCAGTTGGATCTGCTCCAGCCTTCTTCCTACACACTCATCCCCCAAGAGGCGCTTCACATCACCATGGGTGTTACCTTCATTGCAATGGGTTCAAGATGCCTTGAAGCATTTCTTTGCCTTGTCACAGAACTCTCTACCAATATAGGCTGCCTGGGGAAGCAGGGTCCCTCAGAGGAGAAATGCTACAGTTACTGAAGATGGACAGCTAGGACATTAT